TGTTTGTTCAAACTACTTTTTTAAAATGAAGTTTTTGGGGGGACAACTTATTTGTTTCATGTTCGATCCACTTAAATTTGTAAACAAAGTAATACGTGAACTTAACTAATTAATTAATCGATTGTGTGGGAACCAGCATATTTTGGGGGTTAATACATAAAAAACTCAGAAAGTTACAGAAAGTGTGTAAAATGTGTTTAATTAATTAATTTGGCTTAGTCTATTTCAGGGGTTGCCACAGCGGAATGAATCGCCAAATTATCCAGAAAATGTTTTACGCAGTGGATGTCCTTCCAGCTGCAACCCATCACTGGGAAACACCCATACATTCTCATTCACACACATACACTACAATTTTAGCATACCCAATTCCCCTATAGCACATGGTGACTTGTGAGGGAAACTGGGGCACCCGGAGGAAACCCACACCAACACAAGGAGAACATGCAAACTCCACACAGAAATGCCAACTGACCCAGCCAAGGCTCGAACCAGCAACCTTTTCGCTGTAAGGGGATCATACTACCCACTGTGCCACCATGAAGCCCACAAATATAGTTTATTATATGCTATTACATTATTAAATACTCAGTTTTTTGTGTTTGGTCAGAATATAAGATTTGTACATTTACGCATCATTGACTCACACAAATAAAGACACGAGAACAAATTGGGTAAAACTGATAAATGTGAACTTTATATATATTCTGTAGTCAGTTATAATCAGTTATAAACTTTCAACTCAGAAACACTTCAACAGTTTTATAGACAGACTTGTGAAATTTTATTACTACAAAACTACAGACTACAGTCTTTCACAGGGCACATCATCGTAGGTTCACAGTCAAGAAAATTCACAAAAGTTCAAACGTATAATTTGACATTTCATGATAACGTAAAACAGGGTGTCGAACACAGATTTATAACACTTACATTACCAACATTACATCTGTTTACAATTGTGAACTAAAGGAGCGTCCAGATGTGGTTTGAGGATACACGATTGATCACACCAACAAAATATAAGGCAGATATTTCATATTATCAGGTAATTTTTTAGTGTTAAACAATTGTGAAGAACTAAAACACTGACGTTGGCTAACCTGCACTGTAAAAATCCTCTGGTAATTAACTGTATTCTTCATTCATTCATTCATTTTCTTGTCGGCTTAGTCCCTTTATTAATCCGGGGTCGCCGCAGCGGAATGAACCGCCAACTTATCCAGCAAGTTTTTATGCAGCAGATCCAGCCGCAACCCATCTCTGGGAAATAAACACACACTCATACACTACAGACAATTTAGCCTAGCCAATTAACCTGTACCACATGTCTTTGGACTGTGGGGGAAACCGGAGCACCCGGAGGAAACCCACACAAAGGCAGAGAGAACATGCAAACTCCACACAGAAACGGCAACTGAGCCGAGGTTTGAACCAGCGACCCAGCGACCTTCTTGCTGTGAGGCGACAGCACTACCTACTGCGCCACTGCCTTGCCCAACTGTATTCTTACTTTGTGATATTTATATGCTTATTTACGGTTGTGAATTGCATTATGGGATGTTGATCTCGGCTTTTAATGTTGAAAATTCAACTCTGCAGTTTAACAATGTGACTTTTATTGACATTTTAGTAGCTTAAAATAATAATATAATGTATAAAGAAATGATTTATAGAGAAATAAGAGTGTAAAATAACTGAAGATGTACTGGAGGTTTATTTCAAGGTTTCTGTAACGTAATATACAACACCAACCCAGACAATAAAGCACTTTAAACTATTAAAAATGTTCGTAAAAGTCACTTTTTTTTACAGTTTTCAAGGTTAAAAGTTGCTGGAAGAAAGATCAAGAACACATAATGCTGTTCAAAAGCATAAATAAACTGGTAAAAATAAAAACATGAATCACAAAATATGGAAAACTGCTAATTTCCGTATATTTTTTACAGTGGTCTAAAAGGATTTGGCACAAAAGTAAATAAATAAAAAATAAATAAATAAATGATAAAAAAACAACAACAAAAAAATCTCTTTTGTTCTTTCATGTTTATGTAATTGCTTTCAGGGATAACCTGCACTAAAAGTAAATGAAACATACAAAAGTTGTTACTGTGACGGTCTTAAGTCACCATCTGTACCTTATTTACACATAAATGCGCATATTAGTACTTTAAAGATGGATATTTGATCACATATTTGATACAAAAAAATAAACAAATAAAACACAAAATATATATAATATAAAATAAAAATGATACATGGCATCACAAAAAAAATAAAGCAGGTCTGAATGTAGATACATTACTAATCTGACGAATACGAGCACATTTTCACAGCATCTTGTTCATCTGTAAACTAAATCTCCATTTAAAGTGAGGTGCAGAATGAATGAAAATTTACTACATAAATCTTTAGAAATATAAAAAAAGCAATCCATAGACTGTAAAACAAATGACATAATAAACACCTTAAATGCTTAAATTTACAAGTCATTTAAATTTAAAGGGACAGTTCACCCAAAAAATACATTTACTAACTATTTACTCTCAAGTGGTTATAAACCTTTATGTGTTTCTTACTTCTGTTGAACACAAAAAAAGATATTTTGAATAATGCTGAAAACCTGTAACCATTGACTTACATAGTATTTGTTTTTTCTACTATTAAAGTCAATGGTTACAGGTTTACAGCGTTCTTCAAAATACACAAAATAACCCCAATGCCTTAAAAGGAACAAGTTGAATTTACTTTAATTTGTTAGAAAACCCATTGTAACTTGGAAGGTTAAGTTGACCTAATTTTTATAATTATTCACATAATGTATTTACTTAATAAACTTAAGGCTGTGGGTTTACTCACTTTATTAAAGTAAAGTCAACTAATCGCTTTAAAAGCAACAGATCTACTCACTTTATTAAAGTAAAGTCAACTAATCGCTTTAACAGCAACAGCTTTACTCACTTTATTAAAGTAAAGTCAACTAATCGCTTTAACAGCAACAGATTTACTTACTTTATTAAAGTAAAGTCAACTAATCGCTTTAACAGCAACAGATTTACTTACTTTATTAAAGTAAAGTCAACTAATCGCTTTAACAGCAACAGCTTTACTCACTTTATTAAAGTAAAGTCAACTAATCGCTTTAACAGCAACAGCTTTACTCACTTTATTAAAGTAAAGTCAACTAATCGCTTGAAAAGCAACAGATCTACTCACTTTATTAGAGTAAAGTCAACTAATCGCTTTAACAGCAACAGATTTACTCACTTTATTAAAGTAAAGTCAACTAATCACTTTTAAAGCAACAGATTTACTCACTTTATTAAAGTAAAGTCAACTAATCACTTTTAAAGCAACAGGTTTACTCACTTTATTAAAGTAAAGTCTACTAATCGCTTGAAAAGCAACAGATCTACTCACTTTATTAAAGTAAAGTCAACTAATCGCTTTAACAGCAACAGATTTACTCACTTTATTAAAGTAAAGTCAACTAATCACTTTTAAAGCAACAGGTTTACTCACTTTATTAAAGTAAAGTCTACTAATCGCTTTAAAAGCAACAGGTTTACTCACTTTATTAAAGTAAAGTCAACTAATCGCTTTAACAGCAACAGATTTACTCACTTTATTAAAGTAAAGTCAACTAATCGCTTTAACAGCAGCAGGTTTACTCACTTTATTAAAGTAAAGTCAACTAATCGCTTTAAAAGCAACAGGTTTACTCACTTTATTAAAGTAAAGTCAACTAATCGCTTTAAAAGCAACAGGTTTACTCACTTTATTAAAGTAAAGTCAACTAATCGCTTTAAAAGCAACAGATTTACTCACTTTATTAGAGTAAAGTCAACTAATCGCTTTAACAGCAACAGATTTACTCACTTTATTAAAGTAAAGTCAACTAATCGCTTTAACAGCAACAGATTTACTCACTTTATTAAAGTAAAGTCAACTAATCGCTTTAAAAGCAACAGGTTTACTCACTTTATTAAAGTAAAGTCAACTAATCGCTTTAAAAGCAACAGGTTTACTCACTTTATTAAAGTAAAGTCAACTAATCGCTTTAACAGCAACAGATTTACTCACTTTATTAAAGTAAAGTCAACTAATCGCTTTAAAAGCAACAGATTTACTCACTTTATTAAAGTAAAGTCAACTAATCGCTTTAAAAGCAACAGATTTACTCACTTTATTAAAGTAAAGTCAACTAATCGCTTTAACAGCAACAGATTTACTCACTTTATTAAAGTAAAGTCAACTAATTGCTTTAACAGCAACAGATTTACTCACTTTATTAAAGTAAAGTCAACTAATCGCTTTAAAAGCAACAGATTTACTCATTTTATTAAAGTAAAGTCAACTAATCGCTTTAACAGCAACAGATTTACTCACTTTATTAAAGTAAAGACATCTAATCGCTTTTAAAGCAACAGATCTACTCACTTTATTAAAGTAAAGTCAACTAATCGCTTTTAAAGCAACAGGTTTACTCACTTTATTAAAGTAAAGTCTACTAATCGCTTTAAAAGCAACAGGTTTACTCACTTTATTAAAGTAAAGTCAACTAATCGCTTTAACAGCAACAGATTTACTCACTTTATTAAAGTAAAGTCAACTAATCGCTTTAACAGCAACAGATATACTCACTTTATTAAAGTAAAGACATCTAATCGCTTTTAAAGCAACAGATCTACTCACTTTATTAAAGTAAAGTCATCTAATCGCTTTAACAGCAACAGATTTACTCACTTTATTAAAGTAAAGTCATCTAATCGCTTTAACAGCAACAGGTTTACTCACTTTATTAAAGTAAAGTCAACTAATCGCTTCAAAAGCAACAGGTTTACTCACTTTATTAAAGTAAAGTCAACTAATCGCTTTAACAGCAACAGGTTTACTCACTTTATTAAAGTAAAGTCAACTAATCGCTTTAACAGCAACAGATTTACTCACTTTATTAAAGTAAAGTCAACTAATCGCTTTTAAAGCAACAGCTTTACTCACTTTATTAAAGTAAAGTCAACTAATCGCTTGAAAAGCAACAGATTTACTTACTTTTTTCAAGTAAAGCAAACTAATTGCTTCGTACAGTGTATCTTTTAAATATCTTTTAAAGTGTGGAGCCACTTGAGGTAAAGTACATTTTAGAGTTCTTTTGGGGTGAACTAGCCCTTTAAAAAGCATTAAAGTGACTTAGCAAATCTTGCTTATCTTAAAAGTAAGTTACAAACACGATTATTCTAGTATAAAATGTCATTTAAAATTAAACCGTGTATTGTGAAATATTAATCGTGTCATTTTTTAACAGCTTGTACTTATTAACAACTCTGGAGCTCTGCCTTTTTTTCTGATTTCACTCAATCTGTGTGATAATTCACTTGATGATGGCCATTTGTTGTGTCTTTAGATTATCTCTGAGTCATCAAGAATAAAAGATTCTCCTGAAAAAGACAATCGGCACACTTAGTTCAGCCTTCATTGCTGTGTTTGTTTCTGAAGTACACTGAAATAAAGTGATTCATTGGGTTTATGAATTTTTTTTACGGTAAGTTGTCGCAAACAATGTATATGGTCAGAATATAAACAAACAAATAAAGTTGAACATTAATAAATTTAATTTGTTTGTTTAGCGACCATTTATTTATTTATTCATTAGTTTTCCTTTGGCTTAGTCTCTATTTTAGGGGTCGCCACAGCAGAATGAACCGCCAACTATTCTGACATTTGTTTTACACAGCGGATGCCCTTCCAGCTGCAACCCAGTACTGGGACACACACACTCATACACTATAGCATTTCACCTGCAGCACATGTGTTTGGACTGTGGTCAAAACCAGAGCACCCTGAGGAAACCCATGCCAACACGGGGAGAACATGCAAACTACAGAAATGCCAACTGACCCAGCCGTGACTCGAACCAGTGACCTTCTTGCTGTGAAGCCACAGTGCTAACCACTGAGCCTCTGTGTTGCCCTTGTTTGCAACCATTTACCCTAAGAAATGTAGTAAATCCAATGAATAATTATTGATGAAGATTTACCGGAGCTTCCATCAGATTCAGATGCAGCAGATTTTCTGGTTCTCCTGAAGAACAACGAGCCCAAAATCAGGCCGAGAGAGCAGAGAGAAACTACAACCAAAGAACAGGTGAGCCTGAGGATTCAGGCACAATCATGATTAATTATAGATCAAACCTTCATCATAAATTCACAAATCAAAGAGGATGATAAAGAAACAAACGTACATGCTTATCCGTGGCAGTTCACCTAAACAAAACAAAACAAAAAAGCAAAATTATATCACAAGTCATTTGATTGAGTTGATTAAAAGTCATTTTAGGGCTGTTTACATGACACAAAAAGTACAAAACTGAAAACTTTTTGTTGGTCTTAGCAAAAAATTTACAAAAAGTTATTCGTTGTAGTGAGTGGGCGGGGCTGAGAGCCGTGGGAACAGTATAAGGTCGGTGTTTAAAAGGTCACGTGTATGCTTTGAAATGCGCATTTTTATTCAATGTTTGATGTAATCTCAACCGAAACACGAAGAGAGGGCGGGATATAGTGTAGCCCCTCCTCTTTTTTAAAAAACAGCCAATAATGTTTTGTTTTATCACAGATCTGCCAATGAGAGTGGTTGAGCTCAAGTGCATTAAATGAAAAGCCAATGAGAAGCGTCTTGAGAGGGGACAACAGGTTTACTCACTTTATTAAAGTAAAGTCAACTAATCGCTTTAACAGCAACAGCTTTACTCACTTTAATAAAGTAAAGTCAACTAATCGCTTTAACAGCAACAGATCTACTCACTTTATTAAAGTAAAGTTAACTAATCGCTTTAACAGCAACAGATCTACTCACTTTAATAAAGTAAAGTCAACTAATCGCTTTAACAGCAACAGCTTTACTCACTTTATTAAAGTAAAGTCAACTAATCGCTTTAAAAGCAACAGCTTTACTCACTTTATTAAAGTAAAGTCAACTAATCGCTTTAAAAGAAACAGATCTACTCATTTTATTAAAGTAAACTAATCGCTTTAAAAGCCACAGATCTACTCACTTTATTAAAGTAAAGTCAACTAATCGCTTTAAAAGCAACAGATCTACTCACTTTATTAAAGTAAAGTCAACTAATCGCTTTAAAATAAACAGATCTACTCACTTTAATAAAGTAAAGTCAACTAATCGCTTTAAAAGAAACAGATCTACTCACTTTAATAAAGTAAAGTCAACTAATCGCTTTAAAAGAAACAGATCTACTCACTTTAATAAAGTAAAGTCAACTAATCGCTTTAAAAGAAACAGATCTACTCACTTTAATAAAGTAAAGTCAACTAATCGCTTTAAAATAAACAGATCTACTCACTTTAATAAAGTAAAGTCAACTAATCGCTTTAAAAGAAACAGATCTACTCACTTTAATAAAGTAAAGTCAACTAATCGCTTTAAAATAAACAGATCTACTCACTTTAATAAAGTAAAGTCAACTAATCGCTTTAAAATAAACAGATCTACTCACTTTAATAAAGTAAAGTCAACTAATCGCTTTAAAAGCAACAGATTTACTCACTTTATTAAAGTAAAAATCGCTTTAAAAGAAACAGATCTACTCACTTTATTAAAGTAAAGTCAACTAATCGCTTTAACAGCAACAGCTTTAACTCACTTTATTAAAGTAAAGTCAACTAATCGCTTTAACAGCAACAGCTTTAACTCACTTTATTAAAGTAAAGTCAACTAATCGCTTTAACAGCAACAGCTTTAACTCACTTTATTAAAGTAAAGTCAACTAATCGCTTTAAAAGCAACAGCTTTACTCATGAACAGTGCTGTAAATGTATGATATATAAAAAAAATGTGCACAAAACAAAGTGTACCTTCAATCCCTGGTGATCCGCACTGTGTATTAGAGAACAGGGTGCAGTTTGACACAAGTGCAGCACCTGCAGGTTAAAAAAAAGCGGTTTCTCCAGAACATGAAGTGACACTTTTGTTACGCAATCGCTTTAACAGCAACAGCTTTATTCACTTTATTAAAGTAAAGTCAACTAATCGCTTTAACAGCAACAGCTTTACTCACTTTATTAAAGTAAAGTCAACTAATCGCTTTAAAAGCAACAGCTTTACTCACTTTATTAAAGTAAAGTCAACTAATCGCTTTAAAAGCAACAGCTTTACTCACTTTATTGAAGTAAAGTCAACTAATCGCTTTAAAAGCAACAGATCTACTCACTTTATTAAAGTAAAGTCAACTAATCGCTTTAACAGCAACAGATCTACTCACTTTATTAAAGTAAAGTCAACTAATCGCTTTAAAAGCAACAGATCTACTCACTTTATTAAAGTAAAGTCAACTAATCGCTTTAACAGCAACAGGTTTACTCACTTTATTAAAGTAAAGTCAACTAATCGCTTTAACAGCAACAGGTTTACTCACTTTATTAAAGTAAAGTCAACTAATCGCTTTAACAGCAACAGCTTTACTCACTTTATTACAGTAAAGTCAACTAATCGCTTTAAAAGCAACAGCTTTACTCACTTTATTAAAGTAAAGTCAACTAATCGCTTTAACAGCAACAGCTTTACTCACTTTATTACAGTAAAGTCAACTAATTGCTTTAAAAGCAACAGATTTACTCATGAACAGTGCTGTAAATGTATGATATATAAAAAAATGTGCACAAAACAAAGTATACCTTCAATCCCTGGTGATCCGCACTGTGTATTAGAGAACAGGGTGCAGTTTGACACAAGTGCAGCACCTGCAGGTTAAAAAAAAGCGGTTTCTCCAGAACATGAAGTGACACTTTTGTTACACAATCTCTATTAATCACAGGCTTGCATACCTTCACATTTGCTGCACAGAATGCATTGCACACCATAGTATCGACCAGATCTGTTCGAGCAGTTTTGGGCCACATAATAACCTGTAGATTTGCATTGAATGATTATTATTGTTTTGGTTTTGAAGTGTTGGTTTGAATTTTTATGTGTAATTATTATATTTGAGCATGTCTAACCTTCACGGCAGACCTCGCAGCAGACTGATCCTTCAACCTGGAACTCATTTTCCGGGCAGGTTTCTGCATGTAGCTTAAACAGTGCTCCCACAACCAATGCCTATAAAGAGATTACCATTTACTATATCACTTCCAAATGACACTCAAAGGGACAGTTCATCCAAAATGTAATGTTTTATGAGTTTCTTTCTTCAGTTGAGCGTAAAGTAAGTGCACTGTTGACTTCCATAGTAAGAAAAACATCAATGATTACAGGCTTCCAACATTCTTCAACAACTAAATGATGAAAAACAAAAGATTTAGGGCTGAACAATCCCTTATAGGATGAATTAGAAAGAGTTAAAGACATCAAGTTTATGAATCAACACAATTCTTGAGATTTTCGGGGGCCAACTTAATTGTTTTATGTTCAAACCACTTAAATTTGTGAAAAAAAATCAGGTTAACTTAATCAATTTGTGTTGGGTCAATTTGTGTGTGTGTGTGTGTGTGTGTGTGTGTGTGTGTGTGTGTGTGTGTGTGTGTGTGTGTGTGTGTGTGTGTGTGTGTGTGGACAAATACAGTTAAGTTTAATCATGGTTATTGATTGTTTTTAAAGTGTTTATAAGGATTCATTCATATGAACAGTTCAAGCTCTACTCAAAATATCACGTTTGTTGCTGCTTGTTCAAACTTATTTAAGATGAGTTGAATCAACACAATTTTTGGGCACAACTTAATTGTTTTATGTTCAATCCACTTAAATTTGTAGAAACTAATAAGCTATAACTTAATTCCTTCATGCTGTCACAACACAAATTGAACGTGTGAAACTCAGCATGTTTTACAGTGTCTAATATTGTGACATATTATTACAAACTAAGATAAGTGTTTCCAATGTAAATATATGATAAAATGTCATTTTTCGCTGTGATTAAAGCTGAATTTCCAGCATAATTTATTTGGCTTTTAGTGTCACATGCTTGATGCTTCAGAAATCATTCCAATATGATGCATTAGTGATTGACTATTATTATTATCAATGTTACAAACAATGTCATGCTCTTAATACACTCAAAATAGTTTGTTGCTTGATTAAAATGAGCTGAGCAACAATTCTTGTGACAATTTAATTGTTTTATGTTCAATCCACTTAAATGAGTACACTAATAAGTTAACTTAATTCTTTCATGTTGCCCCAACACAAATTGATTGTGTACAACCCAGCATTTTTTACAGTGTACAATGTGAAATATTATTACAAACTAAAATAAGTATTTCCAATGTAAATATATTTCTATAATGTCATTTTTCGCTGTGATTGAAAGCTGAATTTATTGCATTATTTATTTACTATTTTGTGTCACATGCTTGATCCTTCAGAAATCATTCCAATATGATGTGTTAGTGATTTATTGTTATTGATAACAATGTAATAAACAATATTATGCTCTTAAAATACTCAAAAATAGTTTATTCAAACTACTTGATTAAAGATGAGTTGAATCAACACAATTCTTGAGATTTTTTGGGTGGACAACTTAATTGTTTTATGTTCAATCCACTAAAATTTGAAAAAACGATTAGCTTAACTTAATTCTTTCATGTTGTCACAACACAAATCATTTGTGTGGAACCCAGCATTTTTATACAGTGTCTAATTTTGTGAAATATTATTACAAACTAAAATAAATGTTTCCAATGTAAATATATAATAAAATGTCATTGGCTGTAATTAAAAGCTGAATTATTTAATAAAAATATTGAAATTAAATTTATTTAGCTTTACACGGAAAAAATGACTTTTGCTGTTTGTTCAAACTACGTATTTAAAATGAGTTGAGATAACACAATCTTTAAGGTTTTTTAGGGACAACTTAATTGTTTTAAGTTTTACTTAAATTTGTAAAAACAACTAGGTTAACTTAATCGATTTGTGTTTTTTTTTTTTTTTTTTGTGGAACCCAGCATTTTATTACAGTGTGTAACATGATCCTGCAGAAATCATTCCAGTATGACGTTTTATTGATTGATTATTATTATGGTAAAAACTATTTATGCTCTCAATACACTAAAAATGGTTTGTTTAGGCTACTTGTTTAACATGAGCTGAAACAACACAATTTTTGAATTGTTTTTGTGATTGACAACCAGACTGTTTTATGATCAATCCACGTAACTTCATGTTATCACAGCACAAATCTGTTTTGTATGGAACCCAGCTTGTTTTACAGTGTCTAATATTGTGAAATATCATTACTACCTAAAATAAGTATTTCCAATGTAAATATATTGTAAAATTCACATTGTAAAAAAAATCCTGATACCTTAAATTTTTAAGCTGCATCAAATTAACCCTTGGAGCCAATTGGCCTAATATTATGTTAAACTGACTTAAAACGGCTTGCTTCACTTATAAAATTGGGTTAGAACATGATTAACTTAGATTAATAAGTTACAATGACCTATATGCTGTCAGGACTTGATCATATAATTTATTTTACAGTGCACTTTTACTGTGATTAACAGCTGAATTTCCAGCATACTTTATTTTATTTTTTATTGTCACATGCTTGATCCTTCAGAAATCATTGCAATATGACATTTTAGTGATTGATTATTATTA